AAACCCATGAGCGCGATCTCGCTTCTGAATTGCGAATGTTTGAATATTATTGCATATAAAAACAACTGGCGACTCTGTTGAGATAGAATTTGTAAGATGATGTATATACAGCAATAATAAATGTATGTGTGTTTTCTTAATTTCTCCAGTACCGATAGCAGAACCGATAACGTCAGAGCTTATCGATTCTCCAGTCTTTCATAATTTAGCCCCAGGACCGATTAAATACCGGGTTTCGGGTACCCATCCCTACTGATGAACCAAAATAAATCATCAAATGCTGTAAACACTACGGAGTTTTTCTGAGAACTTCTCAAATCTGAGAGTAAACTGTGTAAAACTGAGAGTTCTTAATCAAACATGAGTATTGTTTAGATATTGCTCATAAGGAAACCGTCGTTTAATTATTAGTGCTGTTTTGCTGAGATGTAACAATGGAAATCAAGGCCTGCTGAATCATACGGGACCTGCACCTGAAAAACGCCTTTAGTTTTGACTCATTCAGGTTTTTTAGCAGTTGATGCCAATACTGACATCTAAACAACAGAGTACTAGGCAAGAACACACTGGGCCTCATTTATCAATCTAAAGTAGAAACGAGCGCAGATCCGAGCGCACAAATCAACTTACGACAGAGTTCACATGTGATTCATGAAACATTTGTATGCCGCCAATCCCATCGAATACAAATGATCAAACCCCTAAAAATTCACACTTTTGAAGCCTTGCCTCTAGACTTAACCCAGCCACAAAGGGGGAAGTAATGTCATGAAAGAGAAATTGCCACCCGTTAACCTTATAATTGCAAACAATTACACTAATTTTTATGTTTATTAACCCCTTAACTGTCACCCCCCATTTTTTAAAATAGGCATGAAAGTGCACTTCCAAACTTAAATTGTTGTAATTTATGAACACTTTGGAATACAGACCTAAGGTTGGTCTCTTTTTAAAGAAGATTATTACAAAAGTGGAATTTTTTCAAAATATTAAAATATCAAAAAGTTATAGAAGTTTAAATGTACTGTAAAGAAAATGCACTATACTAATTTTATTTTATTTTATATATAATAAATATTTGACATAACAGGTTTTACTCTAAAATTGGTATAAAATTAAAGCCTTATGTCTAAATAAGTTATGTTCCCAATTTGAAGTTAATATGAAAAAAATTGAGGTTCCTGTGAGATTTTATTTAGGGCGTTATACCACAAACAGCCACCGGGTGCCATCCAAACTCCATTTAATTTTTTTAATGCATTTTTCTGTCACAAATGTCTAGATTTCTCTGTCAATATTACTTCTATCTCAAAATAACCGAGACTCAGACCTTTCCAATGATATGTTTTTTGTCAAGATTATAAAAAGGTTTGATTCTAAAAGACCGTAATGCATTTTGTAATATGACACTTGACTCCGCCCACTAAGGGGGAGGAGACCGCCAAAAGATTTTAAAGTACCATTTCCATGGTAACGCAATGTGTTCAAAGTTATGATGATTACTAAAATATTTGATAGAGAAAAAGGACAACAACAAAAAAAGAGCGACAAGTGTCCCACAGGTGGGACGGTGACAGTTAAGGATACCAGTAAATATAATGAAACATTTACAAACATTAAAAGCACTATATACCTAAATGCCTATTTAGTTCCCCCTCACTCCACAACAAATCCTTTAAGTAACAGTATTACAGAAAAAAGAATGAAAAACTAAGTAGCTATATAATGATATATTAAACTATAAAATAAAACACAAATTAGGCTATAGTGGCATTCATTATAAACCGCATATAAATGTCAATCTGAAATGAATTTATTTAAAGCGAAACTGGAACGGCATTGGGCTCACAAGTCTCTCGCATTTGACAAGAACCCAAATGTTTCCATTTTTGCCATGTAACATTTGGTTGCTAAACTATTATTCATTATTTAAACAAGGGTTTGTGCTTCACTCATGTTCCAATATCCACCTAAAACATCATCCTTCACATGCGCAAAAATGTTTGTTTGGGTGCTGCACACTGATTTTACAGCAGACCTTTTAAACTGAGCAGTGTAACTTTTATGATTGGTTTATTGCGTTTTAGTTTGATGATGAATGGACGAAATGTCATCTTGTGTGTGCGTGCATGAGGCGTCTGCGCAATCAGTTGGATTTAATCAAATAAAGATATAAAGAAAACAAATAAAATGCATCAAGAGTGTCAAAAACGAGCGTAGCCTATACTTGTCACACAGATTTTTTTTTCTTTTAAGAGAAAGATATTTTGTATAGCCCTATTTATTCTATTCCTTTTATATGCTTAATTTCTGATTTTCTCCGTTCACAGAAGCGCTGCAGGTGTGTGACCTCACAGTCTGTTGTTTAAGCTGCTAATTGCGCATATAAAGCTAAAGACCTGAAAGAAAAAAAGACATTCTAATCTTAACGCCCAATTTTCTGTCGTACGTTTATTTCGTAAATGAGGCCCAATGTCTAACTGAATATTTGAAGGGTTAAAGAGAGGTGGTGTGTCACGTCTGCTAAATATAATCAAATTAATGCGTATACATACTGGACAAAGATAGATCTATTAGTTCACACAAATTGGCCTGGTACAATTTAATTTGAATTAAAGCATTTACATGACATTTTAGTCCCAGTCCTACTCGATGAATGTTGTGCCTTCAAAAACAATGTCTGCCCATAGTTGTTGCAGGGGAACTGCCACAGCATGTTGCTTTGTTTAAAAGCAAATTTCAATTTCAGTTCCTGTCTAATGTTACTAGGTCAAGGGCTCTCATATCTTAAGCGTGACCTTGCATGTCTAGTATTTTAAAGTTGGTTCAGAATTCAGACGAGGCTTGTCTGATGAGTAATAACATTAGAGAAAGAGCATTTAGTTGTGACCTTGTGGTCTCACCTAAATGCCAGATCTTTCCGTGCATTACCATGGTCTTTCTGAGACCTGTCGAGTTTCACATCCCCCGTCTCTCTTGCTTTTGGATTGATGATCAGCTGTCTTGTGACACTGTGGATGTTTGTGGCTCGCTTGGTTAAGATTTCTCACATTTTAAAAGACACAAGACATCTCAGGCATTTACTCTAATGCAGAAGCTCTTGTACATACTAGAGAAGAATCAGGATTTTCCTGTATGGTTCGGTAGAGCTGATTATATGGGCAAGGTATGTATTGTTTTTGTCTTTCAATATTAGCTAGTGTCACATCTCTCACTGAAGGGACAAGAAAGGTATAGTTCAACCAAAAATGATGTCATTATTTACTCGTATTGTTCCAAAACTTTATATTTAAGCTTTTTTTCATACAAAGAGAGTCCAATGCTGTTTCACAGAAGAGAAAAAGTCGGCACGAGGTTGAACTATCTTTTGGGTGTACTATCCCTTTAAATGTGTGTATGCTTTAAAATGTGTGTCTAGTCACCTGATTTATGTGTCTCAGAGCACGTGGTGTCAATTGTACATTGTTCATCAGTAGTGGCATAAATCGTTCGCCAGAGCCGTAACAAAAGAGCGCTGGTTGTAATGTTGCTATGTAATCAGTGTTATGTCAGCTCCGCATTGCTGCATATTTTGATAGCTGCATACTCTAGTTTTGCTCCTCTCAGCTTTGATGCGCTGTAACATGCAATAGGAAGGGCGAGGTAACTACAGGGCACAAGAACTGCTGCGTCACGCTGAGACTAGCGAGGGAGTACGCTTAGACGGCCGTGAATGAGCGTTCCTATGCGCGTAAGAGGAGGCACATCTACAGTATGTGTTATGACACATCTGCCCAGCCCTCTATCGCTGTTGAATGATGCAACAGCGACGTCATAACGGTTCCCGCTCTCCGTTATCTCTCTCTCTCTCATTCACTCGCTTCTCCTCTGCCGGTGACAATGCACTTTACCTCTCCGCTCGGGCTTGGGTTCTGTGTGTGTTTGTCCGTGGGGTTGCCTTGCCTTCACTGTGTTGACGGTGGCGATCCAACTAGCGGGACTCAACAGAGAGAGTGAGCGGGAGAGAAAGACACTGATCAGAAGGAAAGATGACAAGACGAGAGAGTCGCGAACGTGGCAAGAGGTTATGCGGGTTAATCCAAATTGCGTGTAGTCTGCATCCGCATTTTCATAATGCGAAAGCGATTCTACCGAGGGGCTTTCCGGGCGACTATCAAAGACGATTGCCGTGTTTTTCTCTCCTACTGAACAGAACAAGTACAAAAATCAGCTCATGGAGGAAAGGGAGAGATAGAGATAGACAAGATGCAGAGTGCGAGAGACCCAGCGGAGAAGCTTCAGAGTTCGCAGAGATGCGTTAGCATGAAGCGAAGTGTTTAGGCAGGAAAGAAAGTGCAACAGTGGCTCAGAAAAGGGAAGAAGAACTGCGAGACTGATAGAAAATGTGTCCTTCACACCGAACACTCACTTACCATCATGCTTTCTATATTCTACCCTGGACTCCCTCACGCGAACATCGCCTCTTCAAAAGTACCTCGTCGCCCTTCCTCACTTCCGAACAGAACAAGCACCATCGATGAGTCAAACTAGATAACCAGCAGCACAATTCAGCATAAACGCATGTGTTGTTTGTTGTCTTTTCCCTCAAAACTTCATGCTTCCTATGTCTCTGCGGTTCCCGTTAACCTCGCTGTACCTTGTGGTTGCTTCTGACAGTCGCTGTGCTTTCCTCCTCACATCCTGTGTTTCTTGGCTTCGAGACTCTTTTGCTGCTGCTTGACTCTTATATCTGCGGTCTCTATAAGTGCAGCCATGTATATGCTTCGTATATGTTGCCATTTTTACACATTTTTTTTTTCTCTCACGAGTTTGGTTTGACAGCAGCACTCGTGTATGTGAGCATCTCCTGCCAGCCATCATCTGTTTGAAATCAACGTTAAAGTGCACAATAATAAACGTTTCGAACAAACTGTGAAGCGTCGAGGAACGCAGGAGTAAATGTATCGATTTTCCTTTCCTTGTTTGTTTTTTTGTGCCATTCTTAGTCATCAGTCTGCCATTTAGTGTTTGAGTAGATGTCTGCATTTAACTGCTGCAGCCTCCATCTTATGGAGCCTCTTAGAATTCACAGCCCAGACCGAACAACACAAAACGACAACAGAACACCTCTATGAGAACAAATAACTGCTCATTTTCGTTTTGCATGCACATAAGCCATAGATCTGTTCAGCCGGTCCTTTAATTAGCGCAGTAGCCAGCCAGTCTGCCACTTGCGCTCTCTCTCTCTCTTTACGCTTTGCAGCGGCTGTATTTCTTGCACGCTCCACCATTCCATCGTACGTGCCCAGTGTGACTCAGATAATGGCCTCTCTCACTCTGCACACACAGAAAAGAGATGGGGGAGGAGGAAAATTAAGGGAGGGAGAAAATGAGTAAGGGAGGGAGGGAGTGAGCGAACGAACAAACGATAGAGAGAGAGAGGTGGGGGCTGTAAGGCAAAGCAGACGGCAAATGCAAAAAGCAGAAAGAAAAAGGAGAATATAGAAAAAGGGAAGGGAGGAGCAGAGAGACATAATGAGAGAGGGAGAAAGAGAGAAAGGACAGTGGCGATAGGAAGAGAATCAGAGCGAGTGTGTGTGCTTGGGGGAGGTGTGTATGACAGAGTGTGTGCGTGAGTGTGTGTGCGTGAGTGTGCCGCACTGCCTGGCTGACTGAGAAGAGAGGGAGAGAAAGAAAGAAAGAAAGAAAGAAAGAAAGACTGAAAGAAAAGAAAGAAACCCGTAGTGGATTTCCACCGGCTGGCTTCTTCTTTTTTTTTTTTCTTTTGGCACTGTCGCAAAAGTCGTATTCCATGCCCTTTCTTGTCCACGTTTCCCACCTTTGTCTCTCCAGCAACGTTATTGGGACAGCTAGACCACTGTGAGTAGACGACGATCTGTTTGGTTCTCTCTATATATATGCTTGAGCTTTGTATTTTCATCATGATAGACACAGGAGCACAGGGGGTGTAGTGCTTCTTACCGTGTTCAGCTGTCGTCTACTACATTTTAAACCTCATCTGCAGTCTCTCGTGTTTTTCTTTTTCTTCTTTTTTTTTGCTTTGTGCTGTCAAACTTTGAGACAGTTGTTAATTACATGTAACACTGTACAAGCAGCATACGATCTAAGTTTAAAGGGCACCTCATACTTCTGAGTAAAACCGGTTTTACAGTCTCTTCTGGTTGGGCGTGTTAATGTTTTGGTAGTAGTTGTAGCTGTGACCAAGAAGAGGGAGAGAGAGTTTTGGCAGCACTGAAAGTCCTGGCATGCCTCAGATAATTGCCTAAGCACGTGCTTTCTGCTGTCAGACAGGTGTGTGTTTGCAGGTGTAAGGCATATATATATCTGTGTCACTGATCCAAAGAATCTGATGCACATCTTGCACGGCGCATGTAATAAATCAAGTCTCTGATGTTTGAAATACAAACTATCTAGTCCTTTTTTGCGTGTAAGTGCATTCTTGTGGTGGCACTAAGACTATATTGTGAAAGTTTTCTGCGTGACTGTGTTCATTGCATCACTGAAGAGAGGAAAAAGAGCCTGTTGTAACAATTGTGTGGTTCAGCTTTTTTGAAGAGTTGGAGTGTGACCAGTGTTGGCAAGTGGGGTACTAACTCACGCTCCACGTCTGACACGTGTTTTTGAAACACACACACACACACACACACACACACACACACACACAGTCTGCTCAGTGGCTGGCACACAGCCCCATGGGGGTCTGACCAGACACCATCACAGAAGTGTCTGAACAACTTGCCCATTAGTATAACCCATCAAAAGAACTGTCACAATGAAGGCACAATAAGAGAGATTTGTACATTTAGTTACGGAGCTGTTAGGTGAACTCTTGAACATGCAAGTCTTGTTTCAGCAGTCTAAATTATTTAATTGTATTCAAAAAAGTTCAAGTACTGTAGATGCTTTTACAGAATTACCCAATAGACAGTTGCATGTGTTAGTTTTAAATGGGTGATTAATTTCATTGAGCTGGCGTGATAAAACCACAAGGTCCTCTTTTCTAAGATATGCCTTCATCGTAGACAAAACACTCTGTATTTGTCATCTGTGCAGCAAACATGTTTTTATTGCATCCACTTCTTCACATATAAGAGCACTGAACACACACACACACACACACACACACACACAGTCTGCTCAGTGGCTGGCACACAGCCCCATGGGGGTCTGACCAGACACCATCACAGAAGTGTCTGAACAACTTGCCCATTAGTATAACCCATCAAAAGAACTGTCACAATGAAGGCACAATAAGAGAGATTTGTACATTTAGTTACGGAGCTGTTAGGTGAACTCTTGAACATGCAAGTCTTGTTTCAGCAGTCTAAATTATTTAATTGTATTCAAAAAAGTTCAAGTACTGTAGATGCTTTTACAGAATTACCCAATAGACAGTTGCATGTGTTAGTTTTAAATGGGTGATTAATTTCATTGAGCTGGCGTGATAAAACCACAAGGTCCTCTTTTCTAAGATATGCCTTCATCGTAGACAAAACACTCTGTATTTGTCATCTGTGCAGCAAACATGTTTTTATTGCATCCACTTCTTCACATATAAGAGCACTGAAAGTATTATACACATCATTCACTTTGTCAATGATGATCAAATCATCAATCTGTGATATGGTCTCTTTTAGAGATACATTATGACCTAAAAGTGCCAGGAAGATGTTGTTGTAGATATTGCCCTTTCACACTTATCTGGAACCAGTTCACAGTTTCCACAACATTCATTTAACCCTTTACAGAAAAAAAGCACAATAGAGTGTTCAGAGACCAGCGGAGAGGATATTTGAAAACCAAGAACCAGGAAGAGGTTCTCAGTATGTTGACTTGGGCATTACCAGTTGTATTATAATTGTAAATATGGTTTGTATTTGCATGAGACAGTTGAACATGATGCAGTCCTGTTCTGTCTCCATTGTGCCCTTGAAAAATGTACAGGTAGGCTCAGGTTGTTTTAGTCAGAATATTCCTGGAGTTAGTGTATGTACATAATTTGGGCATATATTATGCTCAATGTCATAGTTTAAATTTGACAATAGACAACACTGCAATAACCAGTGGTCATTGTATGTTGTCTTTGCGGAATGTGTTTTCTTGAGAGCAGAGAGGAAAGACAGAGAGGGAGCAGGAGAAGAACATAAGAAGACCCAGGGATCTCCATGGAGCAACGTATTATGTAGTCTTTTCTCAAATCAGGCAGCAACCTTACAGAGAATACCGAGATGAGTCAGTCCAACAGGTCAGGGTATGTTGTTTAGTTTAAAGAGGTCCATGGTTATGTCGCAATTCCTAAACAAAATACTATGATCTTTGTTTGAATTAGACTGCAATTGATATATTAAAATAGTGTTTGCCCAATATTTCTGTATGATGTAATAAATGCATCACAGCTACAAATGGTTTACAAAGATAGAGTGTTGAATCGTATGCATGGACTCAAAACATATATGAACTGTTAGTTTGCTGAAACATTGTCAAGTAACTTATGTGTTTGCTCTTCCACAGACTGTTTCTGTGGTGGGTTCAGTGGATGGCCCCAGAGGAAGAGGCCAGATGGAAATTGGGTCCCATGACCGCCTGGATGAAGGCGTGTTAAACCAGGACCTGTCTAATGGGCTTAGCAAACATGCAGCAAATGAAGAAAATATCTGTGATGAAGAAGTCAGAACCGTGGCCAGGGAGCAACACCAGCACAACTACCACGAGGGAGCTGGATGTATTTCCCAGACACCAGGCTGGGTCCCTGAGCATGCTGGGAAGTCAAATCCTGAATCTCAACAGGGTGCTTGGAGTGGCCAAAATGCCAGTACACCAGTGAATGATGTGGATATGGAGGATGCACGAACCCTGGTGGCCTTTTCTGCTACTGTTGGCTCACTGCCACCTTTCACCAACCGTCAAACTTGTCAGACGCCTACAGCTCAGCTGTACAAAAGGTTCAATCAGGAAATGTCTAATGGAGGTGAGGAGGCCAGACAGAAAGGTGTGGATGGTGAGATGTACCCCCCTGAAGATCTAAACACTCTTCAGGCAGCACTGAGCAAGGCCCGTCATGGCCACAAACCACCTAACTGTGATTGTGATGGCCCAGACTGCCCTGACTACCTGGAGTGGCTGGAGAAGCAAATCAAACTGGTGGCTAACTCCCAGGATAAAGGTTCCTGTAAGATTTCGGGTGCTCTTCCACAGCCACATACACAGCATCGTCATGCCCAATCCCAGCCTCAACAATGTGGAGGTAACCCCTCATTTGTGCAAGACACAAATCCACATCCCCATGTTAAACAGCCTTCTGCTCCTAGACCCTTTGGCCCACTAGCACCTATTCCCTGCTCCCCGAGTGTTCTGTCCATAGCCAAGGAAAGAAATGTTAGCTTGCAAACAGCAATTGCAATTGAGGCTCTAACCCAGTTGTCTGCCACTGACCCACAAACTGTTGTTCCTCCAGGCGCGTCTTCACCTGCAATTCACCATCAGCATCTGCCAACCTCCTACCCGCAGAGTATGCCACAAGTGGTCTCTTCATCACCTGGTCCTCTTTTGTCCTCCTCTGCTATGCCACAGTCCATCCCTCTAGGACATTATCCTCAAAAGGAGCTGTCATGGGATCAGCAGAGACCTCAGTCTCAGGGGGAGGCCCCTGCACCAAACATTTTGTCTAGCCCATCTCACTATGCTTCCACATACCCATCCTCCAAGTCCCCATTTGCAAGCGTACACCCGTCGAGCCCCAATCTCCGACCCCAGCAGTGGAACCAGGGCACAGCTGGAAGCTGCGAGAAAAGCTCCCCTCGGAACCCATGGATGATGGTGAACACTGATTCCCAGCCTCGTTTTGTAAACCCATCCCAAGGCGGTAGCGACCCAATGTCCGAGCTAAAGCAGCTCCTCGGAGTCACCGGCGCAAAGTATACCAACTCAGCCTTCAATTTCTCACTCCCTCACCCCAGCTTGCAGGATGGTCGTAAGGGCAGCCTTACTGGGATGCCAGACATCAAGCAGGAGGTGGATGCAAAGGAGTACCTGGGCTCAGGGTGTGCAGTCGTGGGCCAGGAGGGGTTGGTAAATGGCCAGCAGCAGGTCCAGGGTCAGCAGTTTTCCCCCACCATTAGGCACTCAACTCAGGCAGCACTACAGCAGCACCTTCATTATAAACGTAACCTCTTCTCTAATTCCCCTGCCTTCAATCCGCTAGCCCCCATGGCTTGTCAGAACCTTCGTAAGTGGTGGCCACAGACTATGCCAGAGGGTCCTGTAACCATCAAACAGGAGCACAAAGAACCCAAAAAGAAAAAGAGCGCTCAGAGTTCTCCTCTTCTCAAGCAGCCAGTGGGTGGGCTCTTTGGTCCACTGGGCACACCTCTTCCAAAACCCAAACAGATTGTTATCAAGAAGCATAAACAGAAAGCTTCCCAACCATCTTTCCTCCCACAGAACCAGATTTTAGTATCAAAACCTCCCCTCGTTTCCCCAGGATGTGCACCATTCTTATCTCAGCTTGCTCCATCTCTACTAGGCATGGAAGCTGGGCTTCCCCCCTCTCAGGTGGCTGAGAGCCACCCAGCTCCAGCTCAATCTCAGGAATCCATTTTGAATAGCAGTAGTGCACCTATCTCTGAAAATGCTCTTTCTTCTTTTACCCCCGTGTCAGTCCCAGCACTATCCACCCAGAAGGTGACAGCTTGCTCAGGCCCAACTGGGTTAAATGATAGCATCCCAACAACCAGTATCCCACCTCAAACCTCTACAACACAGCAGACTCCTTCTCTGGCTGGCCTCAGTAACCTAGATCCAAAATTCGAAGAGCTTATTCGCCAGTTTGAGGAGGAGTTTGGGGACACCATTTCCTCAGCTTCTGCAGCAGAGACCCCAGAGAATGGCCCTGCTCAGCCAGTGGTGACAGAGTCACAACCAAACTCAGGACAAACCAGACCCGAGTCACCATCCCCAAAGCAGCCAAATAACTGTCCTCCTTTTCCCACAAATTATTCTGAGCCCATGGATGAAGGTCAAAAGGACATTGCTGAAAGACTGAACGAAAAAACGCCATGGCCATCTGAGGAGCTCTGTACTATCAAACAGGAAAGTGAGGAATGTGAGGTAGACGTGAAACCTTCTGGGCAGCCCCTGTCTGTAGCTCAGGATGCATTTCTGGAGCAACAGCACCCCTTCATCACACCTTTCTCCCCTCCGGCTAAACGTATAAAGATTGAGTCATCTGGTGGCGTGACAGTGGTCTCCACAACTGCATGCTTGTCTGCAGACAGAGAGAGGGCCGATTTGAATACTCCCACCAAGGATATCTTTCCCTCCTCCCCTTCACTTAAAGGTTTTCTTGAGTCACCATTGCGCTACTTGGACACTCCCACCAAGAACCTGCTGGATACACCTGGGAAAGATACCCAACCTGAGTTTCCCACCTGTGACTGTGTAGGTAAGTGAGAGAATTCGATCCAGCAAAATATACTGGAGGGCAAGATCACTCGTAGTCTCAAACAGAATATAAAAGCACAAAAAACTGTAACATTTAAAATTTTGTGACAGTATAGTACATCACACCACCCCACATCCCCTCACATTCTACTCATCATGAGAACATGAGACCCACTTAGCTAACTCACCTAGCATTTTTCAATGCAATTTGGTTTTTTTTAATGAATTTTTGGCATTTTGCCAAACAGTGGAATTCGCCGGGAAAAGTGGGATTCGAACCCATAACACAATGGCATTATATGTCGGCGCACTGCCCACTAGGCTATCGCCGCCGACAACACAATTTGTTTAATATTTTAATGTTAAATAATGTTTAATATAGTTTCGCTTTATTACAATATAGACTAAATTGATCATCAGAGTTCCCTTCAGGAAGCACCAAGTGTTTCTCTTTCAACATATAATTTCTGCATCAGCACATTTCTCAGGGTAGTGTTGGGCCATGTCTGAGAATGCACGCTCTATCAGGGGCCCATGCATTGCATTGCAGTCTGTTCTCTGTGCCTCTTGCAGAGGAACAATAGATTTGAAGAAAGGAGCCCATTGTAATTCTTTGGGCCAGTGCAGTGCACTGCCTTCTGTCTATGTTCAGACTGTCGGTACAGTGAGTACAGCTAGTTTCTGCAAAGGAGGCATTCACAATGAAGAGAGTCTGCTCATATATCATATGATATACTGTGGTCAGATATCAAAGAAGGGAGGGAATAGGGAGGACAGGGTGAGAAGAAATGGACCGCAACCTCTCAGCTTGGGCCTCGTATCTCTTATTGTGTCACTTCAGAGGTTTTGGTTAAGTGTGTGAAATTCGTATTATACATGTGATATATAAATATCAATATTCTTTGGCATAATTTAAGAAAGTGTGTATTTAAGGTAGGGCTGGACAATAATTCAATATCAATATGTATCGCGATGTAATTTTTTTCAATAACGGTGATATTATTTTTAAACACATTTCCGATATTTCGATATTTCAAAAAACATTTTCGTAAACTGAAAAAAAACATTTATCTGAAATAAAAATCTTTTGTAACATTATACACTATAACATTAAGTATAATTTTTATAAATTTTTTGGGAAAGAAATTATAGAAATGAATAATTTTATTTAGCAAGGATGCTTAAAATTGATCAAAAGTGATGATAAAGGCATTTATAATGTTACAAAAGATTTTTATTTCAGATAAATAGTGTTCATATCGATATCGGAATTATATCGTATCGACCGAAATTAAGAAATATATCGTGATATAAATTTTGGCCATATCGTCCAGCCCTAATTTAAGGATAGTAAACTATGCCTGAACACTTGTTGAAGACTGACTTTTGCTAAGAGCAAAGGACAATAGAAGGAAGGTTTCCATAGTGAATCCTTATAGCACTCTGTCAACACCACAGGGAACACCCAGTGTAATTTGATACTTACAATCACACTCAAACCTGCCCCTAATGTAATACCTTCAGTAGTCTTTATATTGATTCTGCCATGTTAGAATATTTTTAGAATATATTTTCTCTCTTTTCTGTCATACTTTTTGCTTCTCTATGTAAAGCACTCAATTTTTCCCATGCTGTTAGCTATTCTTACATCTATTGTTGGTGTTTTACCCTGCTGAGTAAGCAGCCACTAGGTGTTTTTCTTCTCACAAACACTTTTTTTGTAAGACTTACATAGGACGTTCCCACAAATCATTTCCTGACTTTAGTCACGCCTTTATCCCTTCATACACCCTGAGTGGAATGTGACCTTAGATTGCCTCTTTCCCAGACAAGCTCTCTGTCCCATTCTCTCTTGCTCACCCACACACGACTGACTCATACTATCGTTCTAATGGCATTACAGATTAGCGGTCTAAACAGTTAATATCATTTGGATTATTAGCCTTTATTGTACAAGAGCGTGTCCATGCTTTAACCTGCTTTCACTCTCTTTCTCCCATAGATCAAGTCCTAGAAAAGGACGAGGGTCCATATTACAATCATTTGGGATCTGGGCGAGACATTGCTTCGGTCAGACAACTGATGGAAGAGAGGTGAGAGGCACCCGTCAGATGTCTGAATTATTATTGGTTTGGATATTATTCCATAATGTCACCTTCTTCACAGCTCTTGATGTAGGCAAACACAGCCTGCAGGGCCATGTGGGATCCTACTTTAAAATCAAGATTTGGTAACACTTTATTTTGATGGTCCCTTTTGACCATTCTGTTGCCAAGAAATAACTTTGCACCTACGTCAACAAACTCTCATTAGAGTATTAGTAGACTGTCTGATTAATATCTGCTAACTCTTTATTGTGATGGTGTCCCAACAGACATTCTACAGACTATAAGTAACTTTGCAAGTACATGTCAACTTATTCTACCCCTAACCCTACCAGTCTACTAATACTCTTACTAACATTCTAATGAGAGTTAGTAGATATAGGTGCAACGTTAGTTATAGACAACTGAATGTGTTAAAGGGACCATTAAAATAAAGTGAAACCCAAGATTTTATTAAGCCAGACAGGAAAATCACAAAAACTAAATGAAAAAACAAAGTGTGTTCCTATTGGATTCTTTCTTGATCTACTATTAGAACAGTATAATTAGCTGGAGAAACTATTTTTAGAAGGTTGCATTTAAAGGTCAGCTTGCTTTTTCTGCAGCAGTCACATTTCTGTCTTGCCTTTTTTGTTTTTAGTAACATGTTACCAAATAAGTAACTGGAAGAAGAATATTCTTAGGCCCCGTCCACACGGAGAAGCGTTTAGCTGTATACACATACATTTTGTATCATATAGGCATTTCGTCCACACGGATCCGGCGTTGTGGGAGAGTGAAACCGATATTTTTTGAAACCGGGTCCCAGAGTGGATAAATCTGATAACGCTGCCCTTACGTTTTCGTGTGGACAGCGAATCCGTATATTTTCTGAAACGATGACGTCATCAGCCCACGTCTCGCCCCTAGTCAGACACCGCTACGTCACGTAGCAGCAACAAAAACATGAACCAACACTGAACGATTGTCTTTTTATTAAGTAACATTAACACAGATTAATAAATGTATTGTTCCATGTTCGTTTGTATACCGCGCGCAAGGTTTATGCGCATAGTCCAAGTCTTCTTCTCCGTTTTTAGTGTATCTCTGTGGCAGAATTACAGCGCCACATACTGGTCTGGCATGTATACTACATCGTTTTGTGTCGGTTTTGTGGTTTCGTGTGGATGCAGATATTTCTTGAGACGAGGAGAAAAAAAAGATCGGATAGGGAAAGCTCTGGCTTCGTGTGGACGTAGCCTTATACACAATGAGTATGAGTATGAGTAACAATCGGACAAACTCAAGTGAAAATCCATTTATTGATAAAACTATATTTTCTACTGTTTGAAACATAGTTTTAAACTTCAAAAACCACAGAGGACTACTACTACCCCCACGTCATTTTGCTTTAAGAGTTCCCTAGTGACCCTGTCATTGTTCTGCGAGAGTTGTTTGGAAGCTCTGGTAGTTGGATCCTGGCAACAGATTCTTAACCAGCTGAGGATAAGCATCTCTCTTTTCTGCCATTTGCTCTCCCTTCACCCCCTCCTCCCACCTTCCTTCTCTATGATCTTGTCCCCAGGGAATTCCTGACCCAGAATCCAACAGGAGTAACAGGAAATATAGGCATCAGCAGATCCACACAGGGGAGAGACAGGGAGACAGACAGACAATGAATAACAGGGCAAGAGATAAAGAATTTAGAGGAAATTAAAGAAGTAGGAGGTGAAGTGACAAAAAGGGTGGGGTATATATTAAAAATGTAAGCAATGAGTATCCTGTAGGTTTTTTATTCGGATACACAAGTGTTGTCATGCAGGATGTATTTGTGACCATGGACCACAAAAGGGTCAAGTTTGAATAAATAAGCTTTCCATTGATGTATGGTCTGTTAGGATAGGGCAATATTTGGCTGAGATACAACTATTTGAAAATCTGGAATCTGAGGGTGCAAAAAAATCTAAATAAAATTGAGAAAAGTTGTCCAAATGAAGTCCTTAGCAATGCATATTAATAAATCAAAAATTAAGTTTGATATATTTACGGTAGGAAATTATTAAATATCTTCATGGAACACGATCTTTACTTAATATCCTAATGATTTTTGGCATAAAAGAAAAATTGATAATTTTGACCCATACAATGTATTGTTGGCTATTGCTACAAATATACCCCAGCGACTTAAGTCTGATTTTGTGCTCTAGGGTCACATTTGTTAAAAACGTATATGCAGTAAATCAAGTTAATTTACTGTATGTGAGAATACTTGACACATTCGCTGTGGTCTGAAAACTTTATTTACTAATACTTGAATGGTCCTGTAGAGGAATATGAAAAGCTCCACATGGTTTTGACTTTGTTGACCCATTTGGATAGAGTATCTCCACCTTTGCTGACCTCTGGTACACTTGTCCACTCTCGTTGCTTTATTTGAGAGCTGATTGAGGGCATAGTAGCTGTATTTCTATAGCCCGAGCCATCTCCTCTGAGATAAGGGGGAGCTGGTGGGTAGAGGAAGAACCTTCGCTTTGTTTGTCCGTCAGACAGTGACTATAGCCTCCTTAAGCCTAAGCCTGACCCTTTTGTGGCCTTTGACCTCATAGCCCACCTCTGTGGATCTTTGAAGCTTCTCTTTCTAGACTGTGTAGTTACAACTGAACAGTATTTATATTTAGCACATACTGCTGTCATGCTCATGCACTGAGAATTTCATTTGAGGAGACAAGCAATTGTTGACTGAGAACATGAACGATCATATACACAGTGTTGGAAGGTTATTTTGAAATTGTAAGATTACAAGTACCCTTATAATAGTGTAACTATTTCAGTTACTTTGTGTCTCATATTTTAGAGCAGTCAATGCAATTTGGGAAAGGAATCAATCAAATCTGTATGTCTGTGGAAAATATTCAGATGTAACTCCTTTGTAATCGTTAACATTTTCATAACTAACTGTAATTACTGTTAATTACACATTTTTTTCTCAGTAACTGTAACAGATTACAGTTGCACTTATTTTAATTAAATAAAATGTATTTAATTAAATTACGTAATTCCGTTAACTAGTTACTCCCCAACTTGTGTGTAAACTTCAGGGCTGAGTATCACAAACTGCTTCAGTGTATTACATGCAGAACTGTTCAATACATTGATGTATCATAATTTCATAATTTCTGAAAGTTTACCAAACTCGAACTGCTTAAATCCTTGATTTGATTTCTACATGCATGCAACCAAATCTGTACTAAGCATGAAGTGACTTAAATGTGTCTTCATTAAAGGCACAATATGTAATTTTCGCCGCTAGAGGGCACGTATTCAAAATAAAAAAAGAGACAAAGGTGTAATTTGATGAGGCAGTGACTGAGTGTGGAATCATGGGAGTTGTGGTCTCCATCTCCACAGCCGATGCAATCCGACGGGACTCGGGCAGAAATCATGTTCATGGATGACCTGATGATTTATTAACGTAGTAGAATGAAGCAGGGTGCGACTGAAAGCCGTCGAAGCGAAACGAGGCGCTGAATGAGCGTGACACACGGCTCGAAAGCAGCGGAGCTTTTATTATGCCACAGTCGAGCGCTTCCGCTGCTTCCGGTCGTGCGTATGTGGGGTAAAGCAGCGGAGCTTTTATTATGCCACAGTCGAGCGCTTCCGCTGCTTCCGGTCGTGCGTATGTGGGGTAAAGCAGCGGAGCTTTTATTATGCCACAGTCGAGCGCTTCCGCTGCTTCCGGTCGTGCGTATGTGGGGTAAAGCAGCGGTGTTTTATCATACTAGATACGTTTGAAAGTGCTGTTATAATGCTACTCTGTGCGGTCGTCACCGGTCTATTAAAACGCACAACATATTAAAGCGTCTTTGGTGTTTCCATGTTTTCTACAAAACCGGAAATCGAGGGGTTATGACGTCATTAGCAGGTGACACGATGACACTATGGACACGCTCCGTGTCACTAGTTAAAATTGCTAATTTCTCTGGATTTAAACATTCTTCGAAACATTTGGGATAATGTAAGTACACAAGTCAGCAAAATATATAACACTGTTCTAGTGGTTTTTGGATATTTTAATTAAAAAATCTTACATATTGTGCCTTTAAGATTGAGGTGGGCTGTTGTTTTCAAACTGTAATTGGAGTTTGTCACTCAACATCTGTGCCCTCGTTATGGCAGGTATGGGGAGAAGGGCGAAGCCATTCGTATTGAGAGGGTGACTTACACAGGGAAAGAAGGAAAGAGCTCTCAGGGATGTCCTATCGCTAAGTGGGTAAGTGTGCAAAATAAAATATTTCTAAAAGCATTGGGTTACCTGAATGATTGGATGACGGGCTTAAGGACTTTCTGTATAATTAGGCTGGTTTGGGGTTCACCTGAGCCAAGTGGGCATGTTTCTTAACTGTTTTTAACTTACAATACAGCAGTCAAAGTAGTCCCTCTGAATGATTACTTAACATTGTGATTTCTGCTTTGCTGCTGTAAACACACCTACAGCTCAACATCTATAATATGCCTTTATCATTACTGACTGTCTGTCTCTCTGTAGGTGATTCGTCGCAGCAGTGAGAAGGAGAAATTGTTATGCGTTGTGAAGCAACGGCCTGGGCACCACTGTGCCAATACTGTTATTGTTGTTGTCATCCTGTGCTGGGAAGGCGTGCCCCATGCTCTGGGAGATAAACTCTACAGAGAAATAACAGAAACCCTCATCAAATACGGCAACTCCACCAGCCGTCGCTGTGGACTCAATGATGAGTGAGTTTCGAACACAACTGATGTGTCGATGACTGTAATGTTGGACTTAATGTGGGTCTGATATACACTACCGGTCAAAAGTTTGGGATCAGTAAGACTTGTAATGTTTTTTAAAGAAGTCCCTTCTGCTCATCAAGGCTGCATTTATTTGATCAAAAATACAGAAAAAAACAGTAATCTTGCAAAATGTTATTACAATATAAAATAATGGTTCCTATTTTAATATCCTTTAAAATATAATTTATTTCTGTGATGCAAAGCTGAATTTCCATCATCATTACTCCAGTATAAAGTGTCACATGATCTTCAGAAATCATTCTAATATGCTGATTTATTATTAGAATTATCAACAGTTGTGCTGCACAATATTTTTTTTGGAAACTGTGATACTTTTTTCAGGATTCTTTGATGAATAAAAAGTTAAAAAGAACAGCGTTTATTCAAAATATAAATCTTTTCTAACAATATAAACCTTTGCTATCATTTCTTAACAATTTAACACATCCTTGCTGAATAAAAGTTTTAATTTCTAATTTTAATTTAATTTAAAAAACTTTTGAACTGTAGTGTATATTGTTAGAAAAGA